TATATGCTTTAAACTTCCATTAGAGCTCTCCTAAGAGCTAGTTGATGCTTGTTCCAAGCCTTATGTTTGCATGAATGTCTTAATAAGCCGAAATAGCTATGGATCTGAATGTTGGGGTGTTGTAGAGCCCAGATCTACTGTCTTTTTGGAGTTATATTGCATGATAACCATAGATCTACCCATTTTATGCATCTTTTAGCCTTATTTCCCTTATTCATGAGGTTGTACACGTAAAGTTGGAAACTTTACGTGGTAAATCAGCTTATTGGACTCAGATCTATCAATTGTATGCATTGGATTCAAACAAAATCAAGTAAAAATCAGTTGCATGGCGGCAACTCGGCGAGTCGGAAGAATGACTCGACGAGTTGGGTCGCGAGTCCGAGTTCTTCAGTTTTATCAGTGTCGAGTGGACGAGGTGAGTTAGGGAGTGGACTCAGCGAGTTGAGGGTAAACTCAGTGATGGGGGGACTCGGCGACTTGTTCATCAACTCGGCGAGTCCAAGGCAATCTTCTTAAAGATCAAGAACAACTCGTCGAGTTTGTTCATCAACTCGGCGAGTCGGATGAAGATTGTCTGAGTTCTTGGATCAAGAGGGTACTCGTCGAGTCGATGCCAGACTCGACGAGTAGCAGTGAGTAAGAGTGAAAAGTGAGAGTGGGACTCGGCGAGTTGGGTGGCCCAACTCGGCGAGTCAGCCCAAAAGATAATTGACTTTGACCGAGGGTAAAAGAGTCATTTTACCCCAAGCGCAGTGTTTAGTATTTGATTGAGTGTGTTTATGGACTTGTAGCCGAGGAGATTCAGGAGCAGCCGCCGTTAGCTTTCCGAGCCACACACTCAGCAGCCAGCTTACGAGGTGAGTTTCCTTCCAGTAGGAACGGGTCTAAGGCCACAATGCCGGCCCGTTCAGTTAGCAGTAGTTTCCGGATTTAGGTCCGATGCAGTAGTTAGTATGTTCGATGCCTTCGTGGCTCGAACAGGATTTATGTGCTATGTTTTATGTTAAGTATTATGTGTTCCGGGCCACGGCCCGATGTAGCATGTCGTATATGTGTTATGCTAGTTGATGTGTTATGCTATGCCATGTTCAGCCAGTCAGTTCCGGACTTCGGTCCGATGCAGGGGACAAGGTCCCAGTCAGTTCCGGACTTCGGTTCGATGCAGTTAGTTCCGGACTTCGGTCCGATGCAGGGGACAAGGTCCCAGTCAGTTCCGGACTTCGGTCCGATGCAGTTAGTTCCGGACTTCGGTCCGATGCAGGGGACAAGGTCCCAGTCAGTTCCGGACTTCGGTCCGATGCAGTCTCCGGGCTTCGGCCCGATGCAGTGGGCAAGGCCCAATATGTGTTTATATGTTATTGTATGGTATGTGGTAGTTTGGGGGAGCTCACTAAGCTTCGTGCTTACAGTTTCAGTTTGGTTTCAGGTACTTCCGCAAGCAAAGGGAAGAGCTCGGGGTGACAGCATCGCACACACCACAGCATAGCTTTTATCCTGGGGATGTCTTTTGATGTTTTGGATTGATGTTGTATGATACAGTTTTCCGCACAATATTTTGTTATGTTTTGGGGATACATCGCGTATGTTTTATGTTATGATACTTATATTATGGTTTTGATTATATTGAAAAACGAAAATTTTTGGGTCGTGTTTTTGGGTCGTTTCACCTATACTTCAAAACGTTGGGATCACTTGCTCAAATATTGACACCAAATCCCATCCCCAAAAATTAGAGATTTGCAGGTTTCAACAAAAGAGGGATAACAGGATCATGGTTTATCAGGCAATGGGTTAGGGAACAAGAAGATGGGTGGGGTTTTTCTGTTCTTTACTGACGAGAGAGAGAGAGTTTTTGAGGTCTCTAATCGTAATAGTTTGTGCAGCTACTGTCTTCGTTGACCTATTGTTCATCATTTTTCCTATGCGATCCAATGTTCATCTTTTTTTTGAACCAGGCCTTCAATCCAAAAACAATGGTAAGAAAGGGAAGCATTGGGGAAGAAAAAGATGGGGTGCGGTTTTTTTATTCTTTGTTGACGAGAGAGAGAGAGAGAGAGAGAGAGAGAGAGAGAGAGAGAGAGAGAGAGAGAGAGAGAGAGAGAGAGAGAGAGATCCATTTTCTATATTTTTTTATTAATTATAAAATAGTTAAAAAGGAAAGAAAATGAAAATAAATATATCAAGGGTATTTTAGTCTTTTCAATTTAGGGAGGAACCTTTTCCACATACAAATTAGCTTAAAAGGACTACCAATCCAAAAAAGTCGAGGTTTGGATTAAACCTAAGAAAAAATGCATACCACAGGTATCATTTTTGCAGTTTTGTCCTTTTTTTAAACAAAAAAGAAAATCATGTTAATCTATTAATGTAATTCATGGATCTTCTATATCAGTACTTATTATTTAAATATTTTCATACCTAGTAGTATTTCTTGGAAAGTATCCTCAATAAAATATCATTTACGCTTGTAGCTGAAAATCTCAGTAACTATAAATGAACTTTGAGTAAAGCTCTCGGAAGAATATGAGTCTCAACTTACCTGTCGACAATTAGTGTCATAACGACCATAGACTATAAAATTGGGTTTTACATATGGAATATTGGGTTGTTTGTGAAAGTGTTTAGATTATTAGTTGTGAACAACATATAATTAAATGTTATCACATCCAAAAGGTGTCACTCATCATCATATTTATACATTATTCGTATTATAACACCAAATGTGAAAATTAACAACATCAAATAACATATGATAAAACCTTCTATTTTTTTATATCTTTTTTACTTTTTTTTTTGAGTTTTGTAATTTCTATTTTTCCAATTTCTTATTTATTTTTTATTCATGTCATAATATTTATAAAAAAACATATAAATTAATAACACATCTAATTTAATTAATCATAAAATAAAAGTAACATTTAAAAACTAAAAATAAAATTTTAATAAATCCTGAAGTACCCTTTTTTTTCCTAAATTATTCATGTTCGTTACCATCATACAAGGTTCTAAATGGTCTGAGGCGTCGTATGACGACAATGTCAAACCTCAAGCTTAACGAGTGATGACGAGCCATAGCGTTTTTCAAGGTGTGATGTAAGGCGACAATTTTGTATTAATTTATAATTATATTACCTCATAAATATAAATTTATATGAAATATACTACTTTTTAGAAGTGTTATATTAACAACTAATAACAAAATTAAAATTAACAAAAAGCACAATACATGTATCCCCAATTAGAAAAGACATAACAAAGAACAAAAAAAAGTGTATCAAACGAAAAAAAAAAACACATTTCATAACGCGTCATGGCACACCATATCACGCTTGGCCACATGTCACGCCTAACAACAATGTTATAAGGCTTTTCGTAACGGCGAAATCACGTCTCATGCCATGGCACGCGGAATGGCACACCATATCACGCTACCTGTGTTTTTGCTTGTCTTGAATATCAATGACTCTATGTAAGTATGCCGTGATCCTTAGTTAAAATTGCACATGTCTAAGTTCCATTGCCGAATAATCCACAATATTTCGTCATTTATCTTCAATCACCATGTTATACATTATTATACATGCATACATAATATCTCGTAAAGTATCCAAGTGATATGGTCCCGTCGTATGTTCAACTGTGTACTATTTTGATTTCAGAACCCCAAAAGCACGTTCAATGTCCTTAAATGCTCGTTTTTGTCTTCTCTTGAAAAATTTGTCTCTTAGTGCTATGGGGTGTCAAAACGCCTTAACAAACGTGTAATATGTTGTATATATTACATCCGTGAGGTAAGACTCAAACTTATACTCATGGCCATTCAATGTGAAAAGAGCATCCGGTGTCTTTCATGACAAAAGATCCTCAAATATTGGCGACTGATCAAGAAAGTTTATGTCGTTATTGGAACCCGCAACCCCGAGAAAAAGCATGTTAAATTCATAAGTCTTGTGAAAGCAACAACATGTAATACCAATGGAGGCTCTCCAAGATAGCCACTTGTGTATTGGCCTTTCCATGCAAGACAATTTCTCCATATCCACTTTGTGCAATCAATACTTCCAAGCATACCCGAAAAACCATGTCGTCGTTCATATGCCACATGTAGTTGTTTCATATCATTCAATGAATGTTTGCACAAGTATTTGTCACTGAAGGTTTCGATAACACCTTTTGCCAATCTATACAAACTTTCTCTAATTTGGTGCATTATTTTTCGTTACTCTTTAATTTGGTGCATTTGTAGTTCATCGAAGATTATGATGAGCAATGTGGTTTGGAATGCAAAACCATGGAACTAGCTTTACGAAGAGGTAACTATTTATTTTCTTTTGTTTCGTTAAATTTCCTTTACTTAAATGTTCTTGCTATATTTTTTCTGTTAAGGACCATCTGGCTTCTGAAAGATGAAGATGTGTTGAACTAGTGGTATTTTAAATATTTGATTAATAATCAAGATACATTTAATTTAGAATTAGAATGTATTTATTATGGTGATTTCAGGTGCGGATCTAGGATCTGCAGAAGATGTTATCATCAATGGAGTCCGTTGAGCAATAGGTAAGTTGTTTAGACTAATGAAAAGCAACTTCTAAGTGGAGGTGGAGTTTAGAGATGGATAGCTGGATAAATTGGTGCAGCGAGGCCAATATGAAGCATACCATTTCTTTTTAATACTATTATTGGTTAAAGATACATAGATTGCTATTTTCCATGATTTTGGTATGTGATAAATACTTCCAAGCACAATGTACAATAGGCTAACCATATTCCACCCCGCAACAAATGTTGCATGTAGCTTTTTGCTAGTTGTAATTTAATTCTCATAAATTCTTGTGTTTGGTTCAATAAATATGAGAAATTAAACTACCACAAAAACCTCAAAATGCCTAAATAATTTTTTTTATAAAACCTTCCTATATCTAAAGCATTTTAATTCCCAAACTTTTATTATTTAAAAGGGACCATTTTCGGAACACTCAACATTGTATAAAAAAGTTGCAAATGCTTTCATTCTATTAAATTTAATGTTTCATGCAATAAAGTTAGCCTGCAAGATGGATGAACATTTTCATACTTTCATTACAATATCTTTGAACATATACAATTACAAAATACATCCCAAAACCTCTCCATACATTATAAATCTAATACCCTATATCCAGTTGTCACCAATTTCAAATGGCTCAATAACATGTGCCTATATTTTACAAGTTGTGACCTAACTACCTCATTTGGAAGTTTAGTGTCTTCAAGCAATATGCATACATAAAAGCAAAAAAGGCCGCAAAAGCAACCAAAACTATAGCAACGGGTGCCATGAAATTCGGGTCATAACCATAATTGTCTTTCACGTAATCTTTAATTCTAGGATCAAATGACATCCCGGGCACATTAATAGTCGCCTCCACATCACCGTATTGTGACACAATCGCACCGTATACAGTCCATGCCAACGGGCAAATCCAGTAGTACCATATCCACCACTTGGGTATCCTCTGAATTCAACAAAAAAGTTAAAATATTAATTTTATGAGTTGATAAGTTCCTATAACTAAACTATTAGTGTCCAACATCAACTAGACACTAACACTGTCTCATCTGTCTCTATATATGTTGGACTCTGTCATGTCAACATGCCAAAAAGTAACTTATAAGCTACCTTGTTATCCATTTATTTTTATTAATTATACAAAAAATCATTCTTCTACATGCCCTTTTATGTCATTTCACATTTTCCAGCAAATTTTTACTAAACGTCATTTTTTATCGGTTATCAGCTAGCACCAAACATAGACAAATGATGTTTTGGATAGAAAATGAAGGACTTCACATATCTAACATGGTATCAGAGCAGCCTAGGTCTCGGAGGGTACGTTAGTATCCTACATCTGTCTTAAGTCTACCCTCTCTCAGTAGTTCTCTTCTAGGGCTCTTTTGGAAAAACAATCAGATGTAACAAAAAGAAACTAGGAAAGAGAACTTACGGGTCTTGGAATGAAGAAACCGGAGAAAAGATTGAAAAGAGAGTAGAAAGCGGCTGCAAATATAGCTGCGACTTGGTGGTTTGGTGTAATGGAAACAGTCATCATTCCATAGTACGTGAAGTAAAGGAACGAAAAGAAGTTTATGAAAAAGAACCAAAAGAATTTAGCTGCAGTCCATTCGAATGACACCATAGCGTACACTATGAGAGTGTAGTATGTTGTTTGAACAAATACATACGGTATCTCCACAAACACCTGCATTTCATTATTTTATGTAATTTATCAGTAAAAAAATATAAAATTGAACTGTGTGATGATTTTTTTAGTTTTGTTTTTTTAACCTGTGCCATGGCGTATGGTAATGCGGAGTACATTCCAGCAGCTGTTTCGCGATAAAATACGGTTCTTTCTGTTGCTACGATTGGTTGAACCGTTGAACAGTTGTTGATTCCCACAAAAAGAACAGCAGCATACATTGCTCCAATGATTGTTGTCAGATCACTACTACTGTCTCTGAAGATTCAGAAAAATAGTAATAAAAATTAGGAAACGACTTTTAAATCTGTAATTCTTAGATGAATTGGTCTTTAAACCTTTTTTTTACCCAAATGTTGATCTTGAAAAGATAGTTAATCTTTTTGTATTTTATTTATATGAAAAGATATTTCATGTTTTCAAATATAAAAAGTTGCTGACTCTTTGAAATATATAAAAAAATGTAAAGTCAACTTAATATGTCATAAAAAATTTCCTTGTCAAAAAAAGTAACTGTTTTTTCTTTTTTTCGAAAAATCCTGTCAGAATTAAAAAAAAAATGGTAAAACAGCAAGTCACCTAAGAATTACGGTTTTACCACAAAAAAAATAAAATAAATCAGGGTCAAAAGATATTATGAAATGAACGAAGTAAAAAAGAAGAAAAAGATGATACCTTTTTTTCCCGATTTTCCAAAAAATAGTTCCCACCATGAGTGCACAAGCTAAAGTGAAAAAGTAACGCACAAGATTATAATCAGGTGATCTCCAATAACTCCACCATTGTTTCCATAAACACGATTTGAATTGTCCCCATGTTGATTGAGAATATTGCGTTGCAAAATAAAGATCTTTTGAACCTGAAGGAGGTATACTCAACTCCTCAACCAAACCTTTGTTCCTTCTGCATTTCAATATTATTTTTCAATTAATTTGTTCCTTCAACTAATTACATAAATAAAAATATAAATTCTCTTCTTAGTTCTTAGTTCTTACTCATGCAAAGCTGAATTCCTGTAGTGTTCAGCAAAATCCATTCCAAGTCTAACCTCTGCAGCAATAGAACTTACTTCCAACATCCATGTTGCTGGATTGTACTTCTCTGCTATTTTTGGTACCCCTGGAATTGCCTGAAATATACACTCATCTTTTTTAATTTTCTTTCTATATTTGGTAAAACTGAGCTACTCACAATATTCAACTTTTATCATAATATCTTATACATTTTTTATCATTTTAGTGATTAACTCATTCTTTTTTAGATTGGTATTGGTTTATGAGAAATACCTCAAAATATTCAACAATTTTCTGTGAGTTCCTGCCCAATGGTCCCCCATAGATCACTTGACCTCCTCGTTTCATTAGTAGCAACTAATAGCAAATGATATATTATGATAAAGATCAATAACTTGTGTATATATATATATATATAATTGGTATAGAAAATTAGAAATAGATATTGTTTAAGTTTACCTCATCAAATGCTTCAAAGATATCAATGCTAGGTTGATGAATAGTGCAAACAACGGTTCTTCCAGTATCCACAGTGTTTCTTACAGTTCTCATAACAATGGCAGCTGCTCTTGCATCAAGCCCAGAAGTTGGTTCATCCATGAAAATAATTGAAGGATTTGCAACAAGTTCAACTGCAATTGTAAGCCTCTTTCTTTGTTCTGTTGATAAACCAGTAACTCCTGGAAGTCCCACTATTGCATCTTTCAGATTATCTAACTCAACTAACTCCATCACTTGGTCCACAAAAGTCTGAACAAAAAAAAAAAAAGATTATAAATTTATAGGGTTAATGTCATAAATAGGTAACTAACCATTTTGTTTACCCATTAAAGATTAACAGTTTTAAAATTTTATCTTGAGAAAAGTTATCTCACCATTTTTTCTTCATTGCTAACTTCTTTGGGGAGACGGAGGAAAGCCGAGTAGATTAAAGATTCACGAATTGTGATTTGGGGTGTATGGATATCAGTTTGTTCACAATATCCAGAAATTCTTGCAAAAGTTTGTTGATTTTTTGGGTATCCGGATATTTTTATATCACCTTCGATATAACCACCAGTTTTCCTTCCTGCTAAAACATCCATTAATGTTGTTTTTCCAGCTCCACTTACTCCCATCAATGCAGTCAAGATTCCAGGCCTAAATGCACCCGTTACACCTCGAAGTAATTGTAACCTATCTTCTGTCACCCCTTGTTCCTTCATTTCCTGTTTAATTCATTATTCAAATTTTAATTACCATATTTGGTTGACATTTATTTCTTGTAAAAAGAGTCCAAAGCTTTCGTGGCAATGTGCCACAATCAAATACACTTAAAGTGTTTGGTTCTTTCTTTCTTCTCTTATGTAAAGTGTGTTTGGTTCTTTCTTTCTTCTCTTATGTAGAGTGGGTTAAATTTTTGGAGAACGTGAGATAGCGAAATTTTCTTTCAGGAGGCCCATGGTTTTTATCCGATTGTTAGAGTTTCCACGTATATTCTTGTGTTTAGTTTTCTCTATTATTTAGGGTTGTTGGGAATCTTTGAGGCCGTTTACCCAACCTATGTATCATAGCGTACTAAATTAAAACAAGTTATATATGAAACTTACAGCTGGCATATCGACATAATAGTTGACACTGTCGAATGACATGGCGAGAGGAGTGAAGGGTAAAACCATTCCTTTTTTAGGGGATACACCGGTTGCAGTTTCGATATATAAATCTTGTTCTCTTTTTATTCCATGGGCATGACTTGGATCGCTCATACGTTGCATAGCTACTTCCCCTGTAATTTTAAAAATGAGTCGCGTATAAATATAAATACGTAACTATGAATGTAACATTTTTTTATATTTGTTTTTCATACTTGTGTTGTTTCCATCAGCAGCTGATAAAGATTGAGGAAGTGTATCTCTTTTTGACGGATTTACCCTCAGTCTTGGTATTTCGGTATTTTCTTCTTGGTTTGCTTCCATTTCGGCTGCTGTTTCTTTCGATATTATTGCTTGTCGTTTCCCAGGGGCTAAATTTTATAATTTTATAATAAAAAAATTAGTCTCCATTCAAAAATATATAAATAAATAAATGTAAATTGAAACTTACCATCGAGATACATGAGAGCTAAAGTGAACAACACGTTTAGGAGAATTGTGAAACCCACAAGGGCAGCTGTCCCAATCCAATACCAGTTGCTTTGTCTAGGAACATCGAAGTTTTTCAAAATTTGTAAACCCAATCTTGTTACATTGTCGGAAGCCTATATAGATTTAATCATGTTAGTGTATTATTCGATATATATATTTTTTTCAAATTTATAAAGAATTGGAGAATTATTATGACTTACAAATTTATTCATCCACCTATTAGAAAACATCTCATTCACTGCGATCGCATTGTAAGCATACGTAATGGGTGAAACCCAATAACCCCATCCCCACCAATCCGGGATTTGACCTGTTAACACACAAACTCTTGAGTAAATTCATTGGGGAATTTCGTCGAACAGTTTATGGGTGTGATTTTTTTATACATTGGACTAACCTTTAGGAAGGATGAAACCACCGAGAAGAAAGACAAGTAGAAGAGTGAGAGCTCCACCGGTGTTAGCAATGATCATGGTTCTACAAAGCCCTGCAATAACCCTAAAGATCCCAGCAGCCATTTGTTGGACTAGAAATATCAACAGGAATTGCTTGAAGAATCTGCTAGCTTCAGGGGCAAATCCAATGGTGTAATAAGAAACAACCATCCAAACAATCGTCTCCACAAGCGATATAGGTACACGAAGCAGAAAGGTCGGAAGAGTAAACGCCCATGGCGGATGAAACAACAAATCCCTTTGCTTATAAAACACCGGAAGTCTTTGAATCGTGAGTGACAATTCAGCAAATCCATTGAACATGTTGATAAGCATACTGAACAAAAGTGCACCGATGTAAACAGCACCATCTTGTTCGTTTCGTGAGTGCATTCTAGTCCTTAAGAAGACTGTTGATCCAATGAAAGCTACGATTATGATTTGAACGGTTTTGAAAACGTAGACGAATGAGTTTCGTTGGATTAAGAGCCATTCTTTGTCCCATGAAGCTTTTAGAAGATCCATTTTGGAAACCAGGTATTTTTTGTATACCAATGCAGCTCTGTGGCTTCTTGATTTGTCGAATGGAACTGAAAGTTCATTCTCGAGACGAAGTCCGACATGGAATCGTTGAAATCGTTTTGTGAATTCGGTGACTGATATGTATTTGTATGGTTTGTTTCTGTCAACCCAGTATTGTTCTTGATCCTTCCTTGAGGTAACCTATCAACATGCCATAACAATCATTAACAAAATATACCCGATTTACTTCCATTTGTAGAAAAAATATATATATGTAATCTTTTGTCATAGAATCGCTTTTTTTTTTTTTTTTTTTTTTTTTTTTTTTTTTTTTCCATAAATAACCATGGCAATAGTATCTAAAATGATTCCTTTTGTATAATGTTTTGGGTTATTTTGTGAAAAGGGGATGTATCATTGCAAAATATATGGTTTATTACTTTATTTTATGGAGAGTGTAAAGTTTTGGGTTTTTTTGTGACAAATTATATGTTAATATGGCTACATTTGTCTTTTACTTCTATATTTAACATGTATAACTAGGGTGTTGTATAACCCTACCTCTTGCAAGAAATCTGCGGTCCCCTTTCTTTCTGGACATTTGAATCCACATGTTTCGAAAAACTCAACCACATGTTCTCTTGGGCCTTGATATACGATTTGGCCTTCTGAGAGCAATATGATGTCATCAAACAGATCAAATGTCTCTGGTGCTGGTTGTAGTAGGGACATTAACACAGTGGCGTCGGTGAGATGAACAATTTGTTGGAGGCATTTCACAATTTGGAATGTGGTGGAACTGTCTAACCCAGTTGATATCTCGTCCATAAAAAGTGTCTTCGTAGGCCCAACAATCATCTCTCCTATTTTATACATCAAATAACATTCATCAAAACTCAATTTATTTATATAATTCGTCATTTTGATAGTAGTTGTATGTCATATTCTATCGCATTTATATTGTCACACTAAGTGTGAGATATATATATTATACAAGTTAATTTTAAAAAATATATATATTAAAGTGTAAGCAGTAAATATTTTTTAATTTAAAACTTTAAAATAAAAAATAAATAAACGAATATCATATATATTATTATATTAATATTTTACATATATAATATAAGACTTTAATTTTAAAAATAGAAACAAACTAGAAATTGACAAATATATAATATTTATTTCAAAAATACAAGTGACAAAATTATTTTAATTTATTAGGGAGAATTATCAAACTCCTAAAAAATGTCACTGCAAGTTGTGTTGTTTTTTTTTTTTTTTTTTCACGAGGTGGTATATTTGCAGAAATAGTCAACAATTTATATATAAGGGAAAATAGTTTAGGACTTTGAATTCTAATTTGGATTTGTTTTTTCGAGGACAACGAACTCTTATCCAAAGAATATTATGTATCCGATTTATATCTTACATAATATATCGAGTGAGTATGAGCAGTCCATAAGTTGTTATAAACATACGCGGAGGAAGGAAGAGTCATAATTATTTTAGGGTTTAATTGTTTTTACTTGGTGGCTTGAGGGTTTATGTGTATTTCATTAAAATATAATATAAAAAATAATTCATCCTAAACATAATAATAATAATAATAATAATAATAATAATAATAATAATAATAATAATAATAATAATCTAACATTTCTTAAGAAGCATCTTGAAGAATATCAATTTATTTGGTGAAATTGAATTTTACACTATGTTACCAAAAAGTTACCAAAAAGGGTGAAAGTAAATTACTAAAAAAATGTATGGTTAAGCTTGTATTTTTCTATGGCGTGGTCCATTGTTGATGTGTTGAAGATTCATCCAAAAACACAGCCATATAAGTCAGGGGACTTGTGGATAATGAAGTAAGGTGTGGACCCTTATATGATGACAAATACAAACTGGTCAAGCCAGCTACAGTTTCTTGGCACATTCTTTTAGGGAAATGCAAACATGATATTTTCTATTTTTTCTCTTACCATTAAACGTCATACATTATTCTTAAATGATTGTTCATATTTTATCTATGAAAAGATACTTTAATTATAAAAAAATATATAATATAATAGATTCCATGAAATTAACTATGAAAGGAATTGTGAATCTAACATGTCTATATAAATACTTTAAGGATGAAAACTAGGGAACAAATAGACTCCCTCATTAATTATGAAAGTAACAATTGATCTACCATGTCTCCAATCATATCAAACTTGGTTTCACCTAACATGACTTGGACTCAATTGGGTGTGTTAGGTTTGGACCTTAGCTTCATTTCCCACTTAACCACTTAACCCATGACTAGTTTGATTAGGTTAATATGAATCACTTTATTTGGTGCAATCAACCACCCACTATGAGATTGACTCGGATTTAGTTATTTCAAATCATTAGTATTTGTCAATACATTGATTAAAAAAAACTTTATTTAACTTATATAACTTGTTTTTTGAAAATATAAATCTTGTTGTCATTTTTAATCTCATATATGTAAAAAAAATAACCTGTTGTGACACGTTTCTTTTGACCACCAGAGATCCCTCGTATCATTTCATCACCAACAATGGTATCTCGGCATACATCAAGCCCCAAAATCTGTAACAAATATTTTAATTTAAAATTTAGTATTTTTTTTTTAAATTAGTTCACCAACTACGAGGTTGAAAAACGCGAAAGGCATTTACCAATTAATTAATAAATGAGCAGTCACCGTTGACCAACAAAATGAGAATGAGAATAAAGAAATAAATAAGTTGGTCGAATTTTGTTTGACTTTTGACTTACCCTAAGAGTGTAGTCGGTAATTAAACTACTTTCAACTCCTTCCATTGATGTTGCCTGATTTATAAAAATCAAGATTGATTAAAATGACAATAATAATATACAAATACAAGTTTATAGTCGATTACTTTCGGGATTTGATTTTAGCAAAAGTTAGTTACCTTCATGAAAAGATCGACTTCGGCTTCTGGGAAAATCCCGGCTTCCTTTTCTCTCCTAGCAAGCTCGGTTAATAACTCTGTTGTTTTTATTACATTTTTATATTATATATAACACGAATAAACTTAGAATAAATTTAGAAAATATCGGTTACAAAATAATACCATAACGTGACCCGACTCCTTGACACCTTGCAGAGAAATCTAGTGTTTCTTTAACTGTCATTTCTCCAACATGAACATCGTTTTGACTAATGTATGCTGATGTCTTTCGTGGTACAAATTCAGTAAGTTTATGCCCATTGTATGTAATCTCTCCCTTAACCTGTTTTTTATTATTAATGTTATGATCATTGATTTAGTTTAAGATAATTTTGATATAAATTATATGTAAATTTATATTTAGAAGTTAAATTATACCTTTAAGCTATGGTCCAACTTTCCGGCTAGTGCTAATAAAAGAGTTGTTTTCCCGGATGACGGTGGGCCCAACAATAGTGCCATCCTAAAAAGATAATTGAAAACAAACAAAAAAATCGTTAATTTAATCAAATATGTTCGTTTTCTAAAAAAATAGAATATTATCTAGATTTATATTTAGTAAACGGTTAGGTTAAACTATTTGATTCATATAATACATGAGCAACAAGCCAAGAAATACACATCTAACGGGTTGGCTTATTATATAACTTATCTTTTGATATTTCTACTTTATAATATGTCTTTGAAATTGTTTTTTACTGGCAACTTGCTAGTTTTTAATAATATATGTCGTTTCAAAAGAAAAATATAGTAAAATTCAGATAAAATTACTAATAATTTAATTACCTTGATGGTTTTATGATCCCTGATGCATCTTTAAGAATTGTAAGTTTAGTTTTTTCAGCTAAACCGATCCCTAAGCATCCCAAACCCGATTCAATCAAATTTCTAGTAGCATTTGCTAATGAAGGAAGTGCTCTGTCTCCAATGTGACAATCAGCTTCGATTGTCAAATGTTCAAACCGGACTTCAACGGTTGGGAGCGTGATGCCAACCCTGGAATAATTGACGACAAAAAGTTATATATCTTTTAAAAATTATATTCCGAATTTTAAGATTTCCAAGTTTTATTCAAATGAAGATTTTCAATGATTACGTTAGTATCGAAGGAAAGTCCATTAAAAGTGGAATAGTTCATTATTAGACTTATTCTCAAAAAAAGTTATCCAAATAAATTAATGGTTTTAGAACATGTCTTTCCCTTTTTTTTTTATATATATTCTTAACTTATTCTTTACATTATAGTCTTGCATCTATGACAGCTTTCCCTAGCCAAAGGAGATTACATATGAAAGTTTGACTTTTGCATGCATGTGGACAAAATTATTGTCAAAAAGAGTTTACTATTGTTACATAAACTACTAATGTTTGTTGAATTTTACATCTTTTGGTAAAAAAAAGAAAGACATTGACATCGATTTACTGTTTTGGAATTGAAGATTTTGTAGTAATGCTTCCAAAAAATTTAGTTTTTCTCTTTTGACAATATGTAAAAGTGGTAAGATAATGGACAACCACAGTAAAATTTGATTTTTTTCGATTGTAACACAGTAAACAAATAGTTGAAAATGATAAGAAGATAAAACTTACTTATCAATACGATTTCTGAACTTTCTCAAGAACTTTTCAATATCTTCTTCCGCAACCTTAAAAATCCTATCAATAAACTGCTGTTTATCGTTTGGATCAAGCTTTCGTACATCTATTTCTTTATGTAAGATGCTAGTCCTTTGACGTTGGTTTTCATCTTCGTTTGTATAAGACTTCATGATGGTGGTTCTTAAACGATCGTAAGTGGGTAGTTTTTCCAACGCAGCCCACCTGAGGGCCTCTTCATCTTCCTCAGAGTGCCGACTAGACCGCCGGTTGTAGCTGCCACCACTCCCGGCGGCAAACACGTCTTCCATACCCCATCTTGCCGTACTTCGGTTCCTGCTAATTGTCCGGCTGACACTTCGCCTGACTGAGCCCCTGGCTCTCGCTTCTTCCATCTTTAGTTATTAACTCGATGAATGTTTGAAAAGGGTCGTGAAGTTTTGTATAAAAGATGAAATGATCGATGGGTGAACTAATTATCGGAGTTATATGGTGGCGGAGGTGGTTGGTGAAGGTGGGAGGAAGAGCATTTTGTGGTGAAAGGGTCTCAGGGTGACTATGTCTTGGGTTCGTGTTCGTTGATAGTGTCAATGGTACACCTATTTATACAATGGGTTCGTCGGCTAAATAGATGTATAATATTTCCAAGTGTTAGAAGGATTAAATTAAGGTTATTTTAAATTTCAAGTTGCCTTTTTTGAGTTCTTTTTTACTGTGGAAATGTGTGGTTGGTGAAGGCTGAAGTCTATGAAATATTGAAATGGAAGGAAAAAAACAGAAGTCACGGTGAATATATATATATATATATATATATATATATATATATATATATATATATATATATATATATATATATATATATATATATATATATATATATATATATATATGTGTGTGTGTTTTAATTGTTATTTATGTAAAACAAATAACTTAGTATTGCCCGATCATTGTGACATCACCGATTTTGACTTGTTCAACATTTTAGATGTTAAGGTTGAAATTAATGTTTATTTGATGTTCTTGATAAACAAATATAACACACACACATATATATATATATATATATATATATATATATATATATATATATATATATATATATATATATATATATATATTCATATGTTTAAACTAATTATTATGTTATTATAAGCATCATTGTAGACTAATCATTTTAAAAGGGTAAATATGTAATATTACATTTAATTAATTATGGTAAATATACAAAATCAATTAATACCCTTTTAATTTAGGAATATCAGTTAATATCCTTTTAATTTAGAAATGAGTATTGATATGAAGTCACATTACACTAAGAGATTAAGGATATATAAGTCACTAGTGATAATGAATGTAAGTTCTGTTTATGCTTATGTTTTTGTATTGACGATGACATCTCAAATGTTTTAAAATGAATAAAAATACTTTTCTTCGGAAATACTTTAAAAACGTATTTATCATGTTTTACTGGGAACAAATTCCGCAACATTTTTATTAAAAGAGGTATTCTGATTTTTATAAATCATAAACAAAATCGGTCTTTTTTGGCCGTGAAAATGGGGATGTCACAGTAAGTGTATAACACATCATGAAATATGGAGTGGAAAAGTTTTCTTACTCATGCACATTTGAGATTGGATGTTGTGATGTTTTCGATAAAAGAAAGATCAACTAAGACCAATTAAATGAAGTGTTGTTGTTAATAAGAATCCACACTAACTCTTGAATGTTTGTTTATCAGGAAATGTTCCTTGACAGAGAATCTTATATGTCAAGAAGTCAGTGGGAGTCTTAATGATCTTGAATAGTTTCAAGAACTAATCAAGAATAAAACTATTGTTTATCACTAGCAAACGACTTGAGTTTCTTAACCTATCGTGTATACATATTCTTCTTTTTTGTGCCATTCCATTTAATTTGACTATGCATGTGAATTTTATAAGTTCTCATTTGATCGTATAAGGCAAAGCACCTTGATAAGTGAAAGCACATTGATCTGTATGGGTGAGCTGCTCAATAACTTGGAAGCAATGGTAGGCCCTTGTGCTACCAGATGGCAAGAATTTGAGAATAAGCAAGTATAGTCCATATGAGTTTGAACTTTGTCATGAACCTTGTCTTTATGATGATGGTTGGAAATGATGAATTCACATGGATAGGAACACATACACCATAAAATGTAAGTGGTAAGAAGTTTCTCTATACATCATGAAAATGATTGTGAGGAAACGCTTTCACTAGTGGATTTCAAAGGATTAGAGTTAGCAGTTGTGGTAATTTCGTTCTCAAATTTGAGTATGATTATGGCATCCCTCTTCATAGTTCGAATTGTAAGAAATGACAAATAGTTTGAACACTCGGGAATTATCACTATAAGGTTTTGAAAGGGTTTAGACACACACATATGTTATCTAATAAATGGTGTTTGAGCTTGAAAAGTCTAGATGAAGACTTATCGAAGCACCTTGTTGAAACATCCCAATTTTCAAGGCCAAAAATTTTGTTTTAATTATGTTACTTGTAAAACAGTTCACTGAAAAACATCATCAATATCATATAAATCCATAATCCTATAAGTCAATGTCATAAAACATGTCGTGGAATACTAATAATTTCATAGTACAATCCAAAGAATCTCATAATGCGAAAATCAGGTGTGCATGTGATGTGCAGCTACTGTGCCGACTCCTCCCTCTCCGCTGAAGAGGTACCTGAAACCAAAACTAAAAACCGTAAGCACAAAGCTTAGTGAGTTCCCCCATCATACCACATATCATACAATAAACATACTGTCAGAAAAATTTTGGGGTGCCCAACCTCCCATGTCAAGTAGTTTTAGGGTGCTGACCTACCCTGCCAAACGACTCTGGGATGCCCGACCTACCTATGTCAGACAGTTCTGGGGTGCTGACCTACCCTCCATTTTATTCCAACCAGCTCCAGGGACTATTTCACCCGTACTACTAACACACAAAACATAGCATAAACATACTGTCAGGTATATCGGGGGTGCCCGACCTACCCTTCGATCCTAACAACCGAACTTGGGGACTATTCCCCTCCTACTACCATTATCACATATAACGTATCATGCTAGCACATAAACATTTCAAGTAGTAGCAAACCAGACAATTATCATAAAGACAATCATCTCAACTATAATCAACTACTACTAGTGGGCCGGTATTGGTGCCTTCGACCCAGTTCTACTGGAATGTAACTCACCTAAGTGTCGTGAAGTATATGAATTGTCCTCACTGCATAGATCAACTCCTCTCAAATCCTGAACATAATCATCTTCCTTATTTACCATTTCATGGTCAACTTAGGTTAAAGTCAAAGTCAACTTTCTGTCAACTAACCGAGTTGGTCCACCAACTCATCGAGTTCCCTGATACAGAGTCAGGACCCCTTACAATTGACTCGGTGAGTTCTTCCTTTGACTCGCCGAGACCATCTTCATGCTATTTTGGACATTTAGTCCTTGACTCGTCGAGTTCCTCATGAACTTGTCGAGTTCATCTTCATGCAAGGTGATGCTCTTAGTGTTGGACTCGCCGAGTCCATCTTTTTACTCTTAGGACATAGCCTTGAACTCGCCGAGTTAGTTCATACACTCGTCGAGTCCCATGATTCCCAGGTCCTTACTGAGCCCAACCGACTGGGTGTTCATCTAACTTAACACATGGTCCATTATCAAAAGGGATTTGGTGGGAAATATGTCCTGACTCGCCGAGTCCCTCTATGTACAAAACTATACACTCGATTTCATAACATAGATCTGACCTCCTAGGGTCCATAATACATGTAAAGTCCCAAACATGACGTCCATGCATGGGGTATTTGGCCTGAATGGCCCTAAATGGAGTCTACAAGATGCATGGGTTATGGCAACAAAGTTGGCACCTTTATGCAATAAGAAACTTCAATGGTTCCAGATCTAAAGTCATACCATCTTAGAACCACACAATCTCGAATGTGGCTCTATAAAAGTTTAGAAAATGTCGAAATGATCCCTAACTAAATATCTAAGAGATCAATGGTCAATGTTGAAGCTTTTTACCTCTAATGAGCTGGAAATGGGATACAACCTCTGGATTTACTAGCTTCCACTTGAACTTCCAAGCTCCTTCTTCCTTCTCAAGCTTCACAACCACCACAAACACACAAAAATGGCTCAACAACACTCAAAAAAGGTTAGGGTTTTGATTTAGCGCTTTCTGGACACATGGAGGCGATGGGGGAGGCCACAAATGGAGAGTTAAGGTGTTTAAATAAGGTGCAAACCCTTAAATTAGGGTTTCATCCAGATAAGCCTACTCGTCGAGTCAGGGCATCCGACTCCTCGAGTAGGTTCTTTTTCCTACATCCAAACTCGTCGAGTAGAGGTTAGAATTTAGACGCATGCAAAAGAAGCTACTCGAAGAGTCGGATTTTGGATTTCGATAACTGGGAACTAACCTCCCCTTCGGTATCTTTCAGCCGGTATCTTGAAACTAACCTCCCCTTTGGTATCTTTCAACTAGTAACCGGGGACTATTTCACCCCTTCTACTACTAACACATAATAAGCATGGCAAGCATATCAAGCATAATCATATCATTCACGACAAGCATATCACATAACAATCCCAGATAATTATCACAAAGACAATTATCTAACCAAAAATCTTACTTGTGGGCCGACATTACGGCCGTAGACCCACACCTACTAGGAGAAGACTCACCTCAAATTCGTGTAGTATCCGAACTATCCTTGGCGTGAAAACCGAATCTCCTCGACTCCTCAATCCCTACACGACAATTCCTCTAAATTATCAACTTCTACTTGTAACCGTAACCAAAGTCAACTAAAATCCGGTCAAAGTCATCATCCAGTTGACTTGACTCGTCGAGTTGTCTACCAACTCATTGAGTCCATAAAACTCTAACCCAATAAAATCCCCGACTCTACTCGTCGAGTCTAGCAAGAACTCGACGGGTTCTCATTCAATCATAACATTGAGACTTTCTTCATCCGACTCACCTAGTTCGCCCCTGAACTCGTCGAGTTCATCTCCCTCATTTGAATGTGTCCAGTATATGACTCACTGAGTTATATGAACAACTCATTGATCCCATCTTCATGGATTGGGAGATTACCTTGGACTCACCGAGTTTGCTCATGCACTTGTCAAGCCCCATGATTTCAGGTCTACAATCTTGTTCGTCTTTGTTAGGCCCTTCTCTAGACTCCACTAGACCCTCAAAACAACAAAGGTTGGAGAACTACTACCCAACTCATCGAGTCCCAAGAACAACTCGCCGAGTCCACTAAAGTCCATGTCCATAAACTCAAATTCTGCTAAGATCATCCCATCAAAAGGGTAGATCTAACCTCCTAGGGTCGATATAGCACGTAAAGCCACGAACTTTACGTCCATGCATGGGTCTTTTAGCTCTAAAGGACCACAAATGATGTCTAAAAGGTGCATGGGGCTCTCATGGCCATATAGTTGGCACCTTTATGCCATGAGACCCCTCCAAAGTCCAAGATTTGAAGTCATAAATCCATATTACACTTCACAACCTGAAAATGGCTTAGAAAGCCTAAATATACCAAGATCCAAGCCCTAAAGATGATTAATTACATGGAAGATCAAGATAGGAGCTTTTTACCTTAAATAAGCTGGAAATGGAACACAATCTCTGGATCTCCAAGCTCCAACTTGAACTCCCAAGCTCCTTTCCTCTTCTCAGGCTTCTTAATCCACCA